ATATAGCGACGTGCATGTACGTGTGTGTGTGTCTGCTTGTACTAGACCGGACTGATGCCGATTTATAGTGCTAGCTCACTGAGATACCATGCCGCAGTTTAACATGAATACCCCACTCAGACACAGTATACTGACTCCGAGACCAGTCCTTGTTTTAGCCCCTTAATGCCGAGTGCCAGACAGGCTAACAACAAGTACCATCTTTTACCGTATTTTGGCATGACGCGGTATGGGATCGAACCCCGGACCTTCCGCTCTCCGGGCGGACGCTCAACCATTAGACCACGGAGGCGGTCTATTTTGACTCGAATATGTGTCTGTATATTTCATGTATAATTATTAACATTTAATGATGACAACCACTCAATCAATACCCGAATAGTCATGCGCAAATGACACAGATAGTTCTGCAAGTCACAATTTGGTACTGCATATGTCAGATATATTGACAACTTTGTATGCTTTTTCTGGCTGCTCTTTACCAACGGAACAGCTTGTGTTCATTTACATAGAAATGTATTTACCAGTGCGACCACTGTCAGTTGATTTTAAAACGCTTTGGGGTGAAAAATTCATTTTGCATGTGTTTGTGATGGTCGTCACGGGTGGGGCAAGATACGCTCACCTTTTCTTGGCTATTAACTGGTATTATCACTATTTAATAGTGAATCATGAACACGTGCTCATGATAATGAGTCCAGTCCCGGTAATCCGGTCTAAATAACACTGATTTAATCGGTTCCCATCATTTGCATCGGATAAAGCCGATTGTCGGATAAACGAGTGTCGGATTAACGAGACTTGACTGTAGTCGAATACAATAGACCCTGGTGAATTCGGAAAGGGTTTTGTCACTTTAATTTACAACATGTCACAATTTGAAACAATCGTGACCAACTTTTATCTTGAAGTTGATCAAGTATCACACATGTTCCGTTACATACGTGTGAAGAACTTAGGCGCCGTCCCAACTTGTTATCATACAGGTCTGCAATAACACCGAGGTGCGGACCACAGCTGTGCTGCCACTCATGATCCTAGCATTTCTGTCACCTGAAATATTACATGCAAAAAATCTTTATATGCACAACTATAGGTGACATATCCTTGATCAATCTATGTTCATGTCAAACAAAGATCCGGTATAGAATAGGTCTTCAGCAACCCATGCTTGCCGTAGAGGCGACTATGCTTGTCAAAGAGGCGACAAACGAGATCGTGTGGTCAGAGTTGCTGACTCGGTTGATGCATGCCATCGATCCCAATTGCGTGAATCGATGCTCATGATATTAATCACTGGATTGTCTGGTCCAGACTCGATTATTAGCTGTAGCTGCAATTTTGCTGAGTGCCGCTATAAACAACCAACCAACCAACCAATCATATCAAACACCAGGCTATTTAACAACAGCTTGCACCATGGCTCATTAAAATATGTGTATTTAAGTTGGTAGCTGACTGTGTTGCAATATATAGACCTAGAAATTAGTTAAGCTCCCCTTGGTTTTGCGACCATGCTGTTCAACAACAAGGTGTCATTCGCGTCAAGCCTGAGCTATGGTTGAGAATTTAATGGCTTGTCTTGAAGATGTGTCTCTTGACCAATGAAAACACAGAGAATGCTGCAAATGTTCAAATGTTCTAACTGCAGTAATAACAAAGTTAAGCAAAACTGATAACCACGAAAACTATGGATGTGGGAAATTCCATGATCACGTAATCTGTCCAAGTTTTTCCTTGATGTGGGCATTCTGGAGTTTGTCCCTCCTCTACCTTGCCTCATTTCAGACGAATAATGTTGCATTTGTCGAGTCCAAAGGACATGCCGATATCATTAGACAAGGACTCGACAAGGAGAATCGTTTATTATTATTATTATTATTTACAGATTAAAATATAAAATGCAGCAAAGAGGGTTTGGGTGATCCTGGCATATTCAGGCTGGTTAGGTTCATCATCAGCTCAGGGCCTTTGCCCCTCCACACGCAGCCCAGACGGCGATTGTGACATCTCCGAGGAAGCGCTGTCTAGTCAAACGCACCCAGAACTTTTCGAAGAATGTGAAGACTCACCAACACTGCAGCCTTCTGCATTACCCAGATTGTCAAAAGGGCTGTATTCCTCGTAGCAAACTCAGGTACTCTCCCAATGTCAGTCAACAGATTGGAAGGTACCAAACCTTAGTCACCGAGAACAATGGGGAGTCGGACAACTTGGTACTTGGGGTGCAAGCGTGACATTTCGAAACAGTCTTGTCATTCATATTAGTTTCAAAGGGGACAGAAAACTCAATGATATGAATGATTTCATTGGATTTATCAAAAAGGACAAGATCAGGTTTGTTTGCCTGGATACGTCTAAGGCTGTAAATGGGCCTATTCCAAAGAATTTTGTATTTATCATTTTCCATGACGCCCTCTACATATGTCGGGTCGTACCATGGGTGGATGTCTGTGTCAAAACCACAAGCATGTCGAAGACGGTAACACAATGATCAAGCCACCTCATTATGTCGTTTAAGATAATGTGTTTGTGCCAAAGCACATCCACTCACAATGTGTTGAACAGTCTCATTAAATTCATTACATAATCTACATTTCATATTTACATTTTGATGCAAAATCACGCATTGACGGTTTCGAGTGGGAAGTGACCTATCCTGAGCAGCAAACAGAAAGCCTTCTGTTTTACTTTTCAGGCCAGACGACTTCATCCAAGCGAGGGACTCTGCAGGATTGCTGAACTTCTCAACACACTGCACATAAACTCGATGCAGTGGTCGTTCAGATAGCCTTTTCTTGAAAATGGAAAGGCTATCTGAATGGTCCGACTTGATATGGCACTTCACTTGGTTGACACTTATTTCTGTACCGTCGAGCAGTACAGAACCATCAACAAAATCAACACGGTCATTGATATTATGTACCACATCCTTTGCTCGTTTTCGAAAACTGTGGAATGCCTTGTTTTCATCATGAATCTTGACATGCTTCACAAGAGGATCATCAGACGAATAAATGTGTGCAAAAGTGCACAAGACAATTCTATCATGAAGAGCCTCCACATTAATCAAACCACGCCCTCCCATCATGATTGGTAAATATAAGCGATTGAGAGAAGAGCGAGGATGGTGGAATGTATTGTCTGACATGATTCTTCGTGTGAGGGTGTCAATACCCTGAATTTCTTCTTTCGTCCAATCAACAACACCAAAAGAATACGAAAGGACGGGCACAGCATAAGTATTTGTGGCTTTGACTTTATTGCGAGCGTTCAGCTCCGAACTCCAGATTTTCTTAAGTCAACATTTGTACTCTGCCCGAAGTTTGCCCTTGATATGGGCATTCTGGAGTTTGTCCCTAATCTGCATCCCTAAGTACGTATAGGCCTGACCTTCCACAATATGGTCAATAACTCCTCCTCCAAGTAAACGGACGGATCCTCCCTCTACCTTGACACGTTTCAAATGACGAATGTTGCATTTGTCGAGTCGAAAGGACATGCCGATATCATTAGAAAAGAACTCGACAAGCAGAATCTGTTTTTTGAGTGTAGATCCTCCATTGGCTATAAGTTCAAGGTCATCCATGTAAAGGAGGTGAGTAAGGGCTGTTGGGGATCTGTGCTTAGAGGTCCCGGGTGATAACTGTCCTATTTGCTGAGCAAAAAGCTTAAAGGTTTTAGTAACAAACAGAAAAGCAAAGGGCTAAAAGAATCGCCCTGAAATATGCCTCTGCTGATAGAAATGGGTTCCGAAGTCACCACCTGCCCCATATCAAGTTGAGTTAACCAGCAATTCATTAATGACTTGAGTAAAACAAGTAATCGCTTGGGGAAGTCAATACATTATTATTATTATTATCAAAATGTAAAAAAATGCAGCAAATGAGGGTTGGCGTGATCCTGGCACAGTCAGGCTCGTTAGGCTCATCAGCAGCTCAGGGGCGTTCCCCCTGACACTCTCCCAATGTCAGCCAACAGACCTAAGGCACCGAAAACATTGGGGAGTCGGGCAACAATACATGTACATTTTCAGTACATATATACAGCTCAATAGCTTAATTTGTTACAAAATTATTTGCAAGGTTAATTTTTTAAAGAAACTACAGTATATCCCAATTAATTATTGCTCCTCAATGGCTGTTTTTTCGATTTCCCTTCTCCGTTTACCCCATCTTGTTCCTTTTGGGAGTAAAATTATTTATATATATATATTCCTCAGATATGGATTACTACTTATCGGGCCTTTCGTCGCCAAAATGTGGAGAAGGTCTCAGGCCTGTTTAATATATACTGCGCACTAGACTTGTAAATTTTCCTCTGAAGCCCCTCGTTCAACATGACTTATTCATGTATGTACCGTATTCGACGTAATAAGCGCCCACGGCGATATTTGCTATTATATTGGCAAGTAAACAATCCCAATTAGCACCCCTTCCGATTGATCAATGTACACAAGACTTACTCGTGTGCTATATGCACCCTTAATTATGGGCAATTAAATTCTGGAAAAATATATCTGTAGTATATAAACATTTCAGGCTGTCAGCATAAACCACGAAATTTATCTTTCAATTCTGTTTTTTTCCACCAAAATAATATTCAAATAATGGCCCCCTATTTCTATTTTTGAGAGCGCCCTGGGCGCTTATTACGTCGAATACAGTAAGTGTATTTGAGATACATATTTTATGAACCTACGTTAGTAAATATTAATTTAATCGACAAACATGACATTTGTATCTTGACGACTTAATTCAAATAATTTATTAATACTCGGATATAAAAACATATAAATGTATTCAGTTTCACAAAAGTAGAAATCGTGAAAGGTATATTGTTTTTTGTTTATAATATTGTTTAGCCCTATGTCCCTCTAAATACGCATCATTAGTTCCCAGCAGCTTGTGTCCCGATAGCATAATCAATGCTCATCTTTACACAGCTGCTCCAAACCACGAAAACGCTTTATATTATATATGCATCCGTTTACTCGCCAGTGCATCCTATGACACGCTAACCGCCAGCATCTCAACTGCAACAATGAATGTGTTCTCTGGTGTTGCGCTTCTACTGTTGGTCTCTTCCATGCTCCTGTACGCAGAGGGTAAGTCACTCATTTCCCCAAAACGTTTAACATGTCCTAATGGCATAAATAGTAAATAATGTTTTCCTGACATTTCTTGATACTCTCAGGGAACAGAAAGAAATACCACTTTATACCACTCATTTATATGTCTTTATATGTCTTTATGCTGATTTAGCGTCACATAATGGACCATTGAAGTATTGGTTTAAACTGTTTTTTGCCTATGACTCTCATGGCGGAATGCCATATATTTTCAAGGAAACGTGGGACATATAAATACATTCGTGAATCTGATGCCAAGTTGTGAGTGCCATATACACCGGACATAATTGTCCATACATTAAAATAAACAATATCTCGCCAACAAACGCATTTAATTAAGTGAAGGTCATATAGCAGCAGAATTGCAACCTTCCTCAAATTGACAATACTTCACATATCTATACTCAACAACAAAAGTTCCTGTGACACCAATATTTTAGTGTATTTTACAAACAAGTAAAGTTTGTTTTCAATATTGTAGTACATGTATGGAATCAAGTCACGAAAATCGCAACTCCTACAGAAAAGCATGCATTCCATGCAAAAGTTTTATGCATGCCCCATGCATTTCACTACCCAAGAATGGGTATAAAAAAACGTGCGTTGAACATATGGATTGTTTAGCATCGTGGTGACAACAACCACTCAGAAAAACAACACAATTACGCAATTATTCAACATTACGAAATGCCACCCCTGTCCGAAAATGAGCGTCTGCGAGCCATTGGTATGCTTGAAGCAGGATCGAGTCAACGTGATGTTGCAAGACAATTTAACATCCACAGAATCACCATTTGGTGTTGATGGCAACGTTGGCAACAGACGAATGCAGTCAGAGACCATCTTCGGAGTGGCAGGCTACGGGTAACCAATAATCGACAAAACAACTGGATTCGAACAACACACCTAAGAAATCGATTTCAGCCAGCAACAGTTACTGAAAGAAGCATCCCTGGCCTTCGACGAATATCTTCCCAAGACGTACGTCGTCGCCTCAGATGTGCAGGGATTGTCGCCAAAAGACCCTCAGACGTCCCATTTTGACAGAAAACCACCGTCAAGCACGTCTACAGTGGTGCAGACAGCGTCTACAATATTTGACGACATGCGATGTTGCACTTCGTTTCATCTCGGACCTAATCCAATTCAGGACTCAATTATAGCTCTATAGGAGGTATCAAATCCCGTATCGTTGCCACTGCATGCAATTTTCAGGGTAGAACAGAGTTGCAAAAAAATACTACTTTTGATCGTTTTGATGAACTTCATTATGCATTGTGAAAATGACAGATGGCGAGCCTTTGGTATGCTTCAGTGTGATGTCATACGTCAATTTAACGTCCAGGCCATATGACACTTATGAAGACGCGACGAGGGCTGGTCAAAAAGTTCTAAGCCTAACAAACAAAACCAGCAGTTGGGAAAGTGTTTTTAATTTTATTTTTCAACATAATCTCGCTGCTTGTCAATACACTTCTCATATTGATAGTGAAGCTTTTCGATTCCAGTCTGGAAGAAGTTTTCTGAAGCCACCCTGCAAAACCCGTTCACGGAAGCTTTAAGGTCATCGTTGTCGTCATTGCGCTTTCCACAAAGGTGATCTTTCAGTTTAGGAAACAAGCGGAAATCACTTGGTGCCAGGTCGGGCGAATATGGGGGGGTGAGGAAGCTCTTGGAACCCACGTTGTCACACAGCAACCTTTGCAAGTCGAGCGATGTGAGAATGCGCGTTGTCATGAAGTAGTAGAACTCCAGAAGTCAGAATTCCTCGCTACCTTTTTTTGATAGAATCTTTCATGTGATGAAGCAAATCAGCATAGTAGGCACTAGCAATTGTCTTTGGACTTTCAAAGGATCACACTCTTTGAAACCAAGAATACAGTGGCCATGAATTTCTGTACTGATCTTGAAGACTTTAATTGTTTTGGTCCTGGAGAAGTGAAATGGTGTCATTCCAAGGACTGACTATTTGACTCGGGATCACAGTGGTGGACCCATTTTTCATCACCTCTTACTAATCTCTTTTTGAATTTGACAAACTCCTCCTCAAATTAGCTCGAAATGTTCTCTAGCAACGTCAGTTCTTTTTTCATTAAGATTATAATTTAGAAACTTTGGCACAAAACGAGCAGATATCTTATCCACCTGCAAATGTTTATGAACAGTGTAAATGGATCCATTCCTTAGACCTGTGTCTTCTTCAAGTTCAGCAATGGTAATATCTGACAGTATAGGTTTTTCTATCTCCTTGATTGAATCTTCATTGAAGGGAGTTGAGGAACGTCCAGACCTAGGGTTATCATCAAGGCTTGTTCTCACAACCTTGAACATGGATCAACAAAGTTTAACAGTGGAATAACTAGGGCACTTACTCTTGTGCCATTAATTTCATGGGGAGTACATTTCTTTAAAGTCATAAACTTGACGACTGCTCGATACTCGCTCTTTTCCATTTCTGTATCCATTAGACCCCTATCATAATCATAACAGACCAATTCAACAGACAAAATAAACTTGAAATGAACGACTAAAAAATGTACTACATTGACTAGTTCACTTGGTAATGACCCATATTTGAAAGTTAGTCAGGCTTAGAACATTTACTCCAGCCCCCGTAATAACAACCACGTCAAAGACGGTCCCCGTAGTGTCCGCCAACCCGTGACAACCCCTTGCCAAGACATCGTCCACAGGTTACAGACAGCATGGCTCACAGCCCGTGTAGAAGCGCCGTATCTGCGAGGGTGGTCCGCAGACACTGACATACCTACGGCATCCGTGAGAGACGCCCAGCTAAAAGGCTAATACTAATCAAGGTCGACGTCTCCAGTGATTCAGATATGTGGTCTTTGTCACTGATGTGTCACGTTTACTTGTTCACCGATTCGATGGCAGAACATCTGTCTTCAGGCTTCCAGGAGAACGTTATGGCACGCCGTGCGTTCTTGAAAGCGATCGTTTGAAGGTGATGGCTTTATGATCTGAGTTGAATCAACGGGTACACGGTACAGTCAAAGTGTTGTGATTGATGGGAATTTAAATGTTGCGAAATACCAGAATGCTTGCAAGATCCCCACATCATTCAAACATGCTGGGATGAAATGGAATGATGTTTCGATGTCATTCTCATCCTCAAATGATGTTGCAGGAACTCAGGTTTATCCCTCCTCAGATATGGACTACCATTCATCAGGCGTTTCTTTGCCTCAATGAGGAGAAGGTGTCAGGCCTGCATTATTGCCCACTGCCACTGACTTGTAAACTTGTCTCTGAACCGTCTCCTCCTCACATGGACTGGGGCTCGCTACCGTACCTTTGTAACACTTCCATCCATTTCAAAATAATCAAACTATTGCGGTTTTACAATACAGCAAAATACGCTTATAATGAACACGCTTGTAACGAACTGGCGGATATTATGAACTTAATTTTTGGTCCCGGCCATTTGCTGTTAAGATGGTTTATGAATGCTTACAACGAACTATGGTTATAACGAACTAAACTTAGTGGTCCATACAACCGTAGTTTACTGTACTATGATATATTGTTGAAAGTGAAGGTTTAGTGTTTCCATAATCGGAAAGTTGCCTGAACCCTCCTGAAATTCCTTTGCAAGAGGCATACGTTAACTGAGTGTCATATCATTTGAAAGTACACGTACATAGCTCAGGCATAAATCTGTATCTTCTGGATATCGGTATATTGTACTTTTTATACCGGACATGAATAGATAGGGAATATTAACATGAACTTCTTTTTCCCTGTTTTGAACTGCTGGAGGATCTACGGTGCAACATCGCCAGGATCCACTGGTGTTTCTTCATTTGCCAACACCCAATTCCAAATTAGTCTTTAATCCAGTCTTTATCCTATTTTTCTGTTACATGGTGCATCAGAAACTAACTGATTCCAATTACATATATCAATATGTTTGTTTAAATGTTGAAGGTTCAAGGTGTGTACAAGGGTTTCATTCCCATGGACGTTCCTGCTACTGGTTCTCTGACATGACAGGAACGTTTGCTGAAGCAAGGGTAATTAAAGAGTGCTGAGTCTTCAGTTCAAATATGATTGATATGAAATAGTTAAATATCAAAAACATGAAAACGTATTATGAAAACAACTGTTTTATTGATGTATCGATGTTTCGGATCTCACTTCTTACCCCTTTAACGGGTGAATAGTTGAATATAAAAATGTCCCTCAAACAACATTATCTATACGTGAAGTCGTGAGAGCACAGAGTGTTTGTGGCGGACAGGGTTACCACAGGTGCCAATGCAGAAGCAACTGCTTGACAAACAGGTTCTCCTGATTGAAATCGGGGTTGAGATGCAATAGTGCATGCCATAGCCAAAAGTCCTGTGCAAACCGTGACTGAACTGAGCGGTGTACTGAACTGTATTGCTCATTGCACGTATTGGGCATGCTGTGAATAAACGCGATAAGATTAATGTACAGGGCTATTAACAGTATTAACAGAACTGACAAGGAGGGAGGAAACAAAGACATTCGGAGTGGTAGTGCTTTAGATCGGTTGGTGTATCATGGTATTATATAGGTTGACAATTCAATCAATCAACCGTTTATTCCATCAAATCCGATCACAGCAACAACACGACAAAAAAAATCATTATCGAGAACGGAAATCCAGTGGATTGACATCTTAAAATCTCAGAACCTCAATAGACGGTTGATGTATTACTGTTCATCCAGAAAACCATTCCTTTTGCAGTCAGTCTGTCAGTTTTTCGGAGCTCGGCTCGTCATCATCAACAGTCGAACGGAGGATGACTTCATCAGGGGATATGCAAGAGGAAAAGGTTTGTAAAGGCATAGTTGCACTGGAAAAGCCTAAGAGTTTTGGATAGGTAAGGCAGTTTGGACTCTTTACAAAGACAGGTGACACTTTTTGAAAAACTATTATTGAAAGACTTTTTTTTTCAAACAATCGATCAATTTGTTGAGGCTATGTTTCAATTCTAAACTTCGCCGTTTGCATTTAAGCTCCCATTTACTTCATTGGAGGGAGTGACCTGGCTCGCGAGGGCAGGTTCGTCTGGGAAGGAGGCAGACCTTTTGCTGGTGAATACCAGAACTGGGGATCGGGTGAACCAAACAACAACGGGGGGGCTGAGGATTGTGTCATCATTTGGGTCGCATTAGGGTATGGGTGGAATGACGCCCCCTGCAGCCAAAAGTACAACTTCATATGTGAGATTTAAAAGTGAAGTGATGCATTAAATTGTGTGGCAAATGCCTGACATCCCGTTTTCTTTTGCTTCTATCCAGAACCAGTATGTATCACACTGTACATTCATGATGCGTATCCATGTACATTCACTAACGTCGGTACACCTTCTTACTTACTTCAGGTTAGACCTGCAATATACACTGATTTCAGACTTGAATAGTTTCACATTTGGTCTTCTGATCCGCAATATTCTGAACACAGTATGCCTCAAATATTACATTTTCTTCAAATACAATCTGAACAACTTACGGGAAACCTATCTTGAAACAAGTTATACATGAAACTTGGACCCAACATGCTTGGATAGATTACCATTCTAAGAATTGCCATTGTAGAATGTGTGACAGTAGAGGTGAATGTCATATGAAGCGACTGAGTGGATAAAGGTGACCTGGTTGACTGCCTGTCATAGTACCGGCGACGTGAGACGTTGGTCATAATATCAAAACACGGCATGTCGTGAATACCTTTCTGTGGTGAAGAAGCTGTCGTAAAATCTCTTTATTCAGTAAAAGTTCATCACCTACCTGTTTCCCAGTGACAGAAATTGTCTGTATGTGACGATTGATTACCTTAACCACTGAAATAGTGTGTCTTTTATGTATATAACGTTATGGCTTGGAGCCTAAACAATGGATCACAAGATTTCTTTCAAATAATATATAATGTTTTTGTACAAAATCGTGATTCAATTTCACTTTAATCGGCATTTAAAAGCTCTGTTTCTTCGAAAATAGATATATGAGACCATTGTTTAAGTTTTAAGCACCTACGTAAGAAAGAGACGTATCGACGTGCACCTTGAGAATTCATCAATTAAGTATGCCACACAATTTGCTTCAGAGCAAGCTGGTGTAGCAGCCCTAATATTTCCAATCCCCATAATGGGATTCAGACCACGGACCGTCCAATCCAAGGTCGAGGTCGGACATGAACAAAGAGGTTTAGACTATCGGCACTTCCCCATCAACAGAAGACACGCCTTGGGCCGCGTTATGCTGATATTTAATAAACTTACGGGCAAAAGAAACTATACCAAAGTATTTTTTATTAAAAAAATATCACATCAGCACTGAAATGGATTTTTCATTGTCAAACAAAATCGCATGAACGCAGCTTCATCATTACTGAGTTTAAAAAAACCTGCTTCTTCCCGAATATGGACTTTATCAAACTTTTTTCATTCAAAATGGGATGCACGTGCATCACGACAAAATGGCTCGGAACGGTATAAAATCCGCCAATCTGTATGTTTTACACCACAATCGTACCGACCACAACAGCTGACATGCCGAGACTGACCGCACAAGAGCGAGAGAGAGGTGACCTGGTTGAGTGCCTGTCATAGTACCGGATACGTTGGACGTTGCTCATAATATCAAAACACGGCATGTCGTGAATACCTTTCTGTGGTGAAGAAGCTGTCGTAAAATCTCTTTAGTCAGTAAAAGTTCATCACACACCTGTTTCACAGTGACAGAAAATGTCTGTATGTGACGATTGATTACCTTGACCACTGAAATAGTGTGTTTCTATATCTACAACTATTATGTCTTTTATGTATATAACGTTATGGCTTGGAGCCTAAACAATGGATCACAAGATTTCTTTCAAATTATATATAATGTTTTTGTACAAAATCGTGACTATCTGGACAGTCAAATAAGGGAAAGAAATCCCCCTCCGTCAAGTCGTCAAACGTTGATTCAGGCACTGGAAGAATTGCGAGCCATCCCCAATGACGTCATCAGGCATCTTGTAAACTCCGTGCGGCGACGTGTCCAAACCTGTATTCATAGCAATGGAGGCCATACACGATACTGACAGTAATGCATTTGTGAAAAAAATGCGTTTTCTGTTTTCGTTCAGATGATTTGTTTATTTTGCAAATTGACATTTTACCCCCTGTGTCATTCCTTACCTGATATTGAAGTTCCTGTAAATGCCACCTTTGTGGAATTTGAATCAGAACATTGTCAGATAAATTTTCTTTCCAACTCGCAACACTTTATTTTTGTGATAAATTTGATAATGTTGTCAACATCAAATCAATGTTGGTATAGTTTATTTTGCCCGTCAGTTTATGAACGTCCTCAGCCCCTACGTTAGGAGCTAATGAAGCGGTCATACAATATCCGCTTTCAGGGATGGGATTCGAACCATGACCTTCTGATCCAAGGTTGGGAATGCTGACACGGGATGGATGTCGTCAGCGGGATGAATCCACCCTACTGTACATGCTTTCCTGTTGAATATTTCAAGATTCCATCCTAAATTCCTTATGAGATTTATAGATATACAAGACGCCCTTACATTTGAGCCAGTTATGCCGGCAGAAAATATTGGTGCTGTGTCGCTTGTAGAAAGTGTAGTGCTTTGTGGCAGATTTATGCAGAGTTGTGTACATAAGGCGTGTCAGAAACATTTCTTCGGGCTTTCCTCCTACATGAAGGCGTCAAATGCATGGATCGATGCTCCTGATGTCAATCACTGTAGTGTCTGGTCCAGACTCGATTACTTACAGACCGCCGTCGTATAGCTGGAATATTGCCGAGTGTGGCGTTAAAGAACTAACATACAAACAAACAAACAAAACATCAAGTTGACACGCAGTGGTATAACTAATGTACTTTTCAGCGTTACCAAACTCACTGACTCACAATTTACTAGGGCCTCAACTTGAGTGAGTTTGGTTCAACTCACTCTTTTCACGCATAACAAAGGCTATCGGGGAAATACAAGATATCAAATACTAGTATAATGATAGTAATAATAACGACGAGAGACATAATCTCAATGTCAATGTTGATATTGTTGATGGTTTTCTACTGCTGGACGCTGCTTGCTGCTCGCCAGGAGATTGTGTTTTGAAATAAAAATATATTTATTTCGAAAGGTATCCATTTGTCGCGATAACATTCGTTCCTTCTCGGAAAATTGTAACTTCGAACAAACTACTACTACTACTACTACTACTACTACTACTACTACTACTGTAATAATAATAATTGTATTGTGCACATTTGGACACATGTATTTGTATAATGATCCTCTTGTGAAGCATGTCAGGACCCCTGATGAAAACAAGGTATTTCTTAAATGAGCCAAGGATGTAGGACATGAAATGTATGTACAGAAATAAGTGTCAACCAAGTGAAGTGCCATATCAATTCGGCCCAGATTCAGTTTATTAAGGAGAGGCTGAATGACCACTGTGCAGTGTCCCATGTACCAAGTTGTCCGTCTCCCCGATGTTCTCGGTGCCTTAGGTTTGGTGCCTCCCAATCTGTTGACTGACATTGGGGGAGTACCCGGGTTTGCTACCAGGAATGCAGCCCTTCTGACAATCTGGGTAATGCAGAAGGCTGCAGTGTTGGTGAGTCTTCACATTCTCCAAAACGTTCTGGGTGGGTTCGACTGGGCAGCGCTTCCTTGGAGAAGTCCCATTCGCCGTCTGGGCTGGGTGTAGAGGGAGCAAGATCCCTTTATTACGTTAATGAAACATATATATTTTGAATACTGATTACTGCCCATTTACCCTTTGATGTATAAATAGATGAAAATAGATGTCTTTTAGCAGTATTACATTTGTGATACTTTTGATAGGTTGAAGATTTGTTTGTTTGTTGTTAAACGCCGCACTCAGCGATATTCCAGCTTATGACGGCGGCCTGTGTAAAAACAATCGAGTCTGGACCAGACAATCCAGTGATTGATATCATGAGCATCGATCCACGCAATCAAACCAAATCAGCGAGCCTGACCATCCGATCCCGTTAGTCGCCCCTTACGACAAGCATAGTCGCCTTTTACAGCAAGCATGGGTTGCTGAAGACCTATTCTACCCCGGATCTTCACGGGTCTGATAGGTTGAAGAAAAAATTTTACGACTGCTTTAAGAAGGGAACTCTTCACAGCAGACATGTCCAGGTAAGAATAGAAACTGCCCTCCCCCACCCCAACCCCACCAACACCCCCACCCTCCACCTATGCTGACCGCCTCCATGGTCTAGTGGTAGAGCGTCCGCCGGGAGCGAAAGGTCCGGGGATCGATCCCCGGCCGCGTCATACCAAAAGACGTTAAAAGATGGTACTTGTTGCTACCATGCCTGGATCTCGGCATTAAGGGGATTAAACAAGGACTGGTCGGCTCGGAGTCAGTATACTGTGTCTAAGTGGGGTATCTATGTTAAACTGCGTATCTCAGTGTGCTAGCACTATAAGATCGGCATGAGTCCGGACTAGTACAAGCAGCCACAGACACACACGGACATGCACGTTGCGAAGTAAGTGCAACAATCTCCACCATTTCACCTCAGCACCACCTCTATGTCAATCTCTATACTCTCAGTTCAACTTTGTTCATAGCGAAAAGACGTATCCTTTATTCATTATTTGGCTATATGTGTATTACAATGACATTGCTTGGTTAAAAATAACAAGTAACAAGGACTGGTCGGCTCGGAGTCAGTATACTGTGTCTAAGTTGGGTATTTATGTTAAACTGCGTATCTCAGTGAGCTAGCACTATAAAACTGGCATCAGTCCGGACTAGTATAAGCAGCCACA